TCTGTAAAAAAAGAAGTTTTTGAGGAAGAAGAAGAAATATTTTTTATTTTTTGACTTTAGAAACTCAGAAGCTGATCAAATATCGGGTTAAATATCGGTGGGGTGGCCGATGTCCGATATTCAGTTTTCAGGCCGATACCGATAGGGGGCCGATTATATCGTGGATCCCTACTTTTTTCATCACTTGCAGTTTAATATAAAATCATCACTGCTAAGAGCAGGTGGAATGGACGGTTCAACAGAGCTATGGCTCTGGGTGGATTAAAAAGAAATCTAGGATTATTATTCTTATTCTCCTCTATTAATGAGGAGAAATATGCTGCTCTTGCTTTATAAAGGGTCCTCTTATACAGCAGTAAACTATTTTTCCACACTAGGTAGGAGTTCTACAGGGTTGTAGAGTGCAACTTTCTCTCCAGTTTTCTAGCATTTCTGCAGCTCTGCATTAAACCAAGGAGCCAGCTTTCTATTTTTAAAGTTTCTCACTTTCAAATGAGCTGCGTTGTCTAAGGCAGAAAGCAGAGAACTAGCAACCCCATCAACAAAATCATCAACCTGTGAAGGGGAATAAGCTAAGCTTTTGTCCTCTGCAGCACTGCTCAGCGACACAGAGGAAATGTATAACTGCACTATCTGATAGTGATCTGCTAAAGTGAAACCTTCTTTTAGGGGAGGAGAACTCTGTTAAAGTAATCCTGAAGGTTATTAAAAAGAGGTCAGAGAGGAAATACTGTTATTCACCACATTCAATGCTATATGTTAGCAAAGGTCTGAAGTATGAAGATGAGAGTCTGTGGGACTATTCACATTTAACTGGCATTTAATTCTCCACCACCTTGGGGGGCGGCTCCCATTCTGACCTGGGGGTCTCCAGTTTGGATTCTGTACTCTACATCATCCAGTACGACGTTCCATGAATTCCTTTCCCTCCTGAATTTTACAGCCTGCTAGGAGGTGGTGGATTGTTTCTGGGGCCTCTTTGCATAACCTGCACCTGGGATCTTACCGGCTATGGTAGATCAGGGCTTCTGTTGCTCTGACGCTCAGGGGCTGCTGCTGTGCTGCCATTAGCAGCGCTTCACCCTGGCCCTCTCTAGCTATTATTATTTTACTGGATTTGACAAGAATGTAAAGGCAGATTACAGTGTGAAATACAAAGAGAATATA